ATATCTTCTCACATGTAAGATTCATCTTTAAAATAATAAAGTAGACGCCTTATGTTTTTTGAATATTTTTTAATCTTTATAACACATTTAAATCAGTTGTATTTATACTGCAAGAACAGGTAAGTATTGGTTGTGCCACATAGCATACATTTGTAGATGTCAGTCAGCCCAGCAGCTATATCTGCTTACACGTAAGATCGAATCGGTCTGTCCAGAATCGGCGTAGCGGAGTATAATACATTTAAATAGTATAATATTTTAACATTTTAATAGTATAGTACATTTAATTCAGTTGTATTTATACTGCAATAGCAGGTAAGTATTGGTTTTTACTTTCTTTTTTTTACAGTATAAGAAGAACTTTTTAAAACTCAATATTAGGTAAGTTTAATTTTAAACTAACGCCATCATTGGTCAAAGGAAAAAACCTTCAAAAATGTCGATGAACCCAAAAAATATTGTTCTCTTATTACAACAAAGTTTTAATCGTCCAGAATACAATCTGGAAACAGTAATTATAGAAGAAGAAAGATTATTTGCTCTTCATTTAGAGAATTTAATCAAAGAATCTGTTGACACCCAAATATTCTTTGAAAGTTTTGATAGCTTAAGTTTTAATGAAAATAGTGCCAATCCTGATGCAGTTTTTGTTGATGAGGATTATGAAAATGATTTTGAAGTCTTGCCAATAAAAAAGGATGGCAAGAAAATGAAAGTAGATGTAGATATTGAATATAAAAGGAATGCTGTAAACTTTTGGCGTTCAGGAAAAAAAAACAAATTTGTTCTTCAAAACAGTTCAACACAATTTTAATAAAGTTTCAAACCCGAATACATTGTATAAATGGGAGGAACAAATTAAAATGGGTGGTACAAGAAGTGACAAATTATTAAAAATTTCTAATTATGTCTTGGATCAATTTAAACTTGCCACTGAAAAATCGCTTCCAGTCCATGATAATGATTTGAAAAGATAAGCTCTACAGGCTCGTGAAAAAATTGATTTGTCACTTAAATTATTTACTGCGTCAACTTTTTGGGTGCATAATTTTAAAATCAAACATGGCATTGTGTCAAGAAAAATAAATAAGTTTGTAACCCAAAAATATGTGTCAGCAAAGGCAGAGATTATACAAAAATCTCATGAATTTGTTTCTAAAGTGAAATCAGAGGTTTTATTAGTAGGTGAGAACAATGTGTTTAATTCCGATCAATCCGGATTTAATTTAGAAACGCATGCCGGACGAACACTTGCTTTGAAAGGCTCCATGAAAGTCGAATGTTTAGCAAAGTCCTTGAATTCTTTAACTCATAGTTACACCATTCAGCCTATTGTTTCCGCTGATGGAGAGTTAAAGTCACCTATGCTAATAATCTTACAAGAGACAGGTGGCAAATTTGGACCAATTGTTGAAAAGACATTATATAAGGCAGAAAACATCGTCGCCTTAGCGTCAAAATCAGGGAAATTGACATCAGACATTACCATTAAATGGTTTTCTGATGTTTTCTTACCAAATGCTGGAACGAATTCCGTTCTTTTATTAGATTCTTGGACTGGCCAAACTAAAACCAAATTTGACAATATAGATAGAGGAAATAAAAGTGTCAAAATTCTGACGATTCCAGCTGGAACTACTGGCTTAATTCAGCCACTGGACGTTTACGGTTTTAGATTATGGAAAAATTTTTTGAGACAATTTTCAGATATAGGAATTCTATATGGCTATGATGTCAACTTATACTTGAGAA